ATTGATAGATACAGATACACACACACACACACACACACACACACACACACACACACACACCAGTTTTTAAGAATATAGCCCAGGGGTAAGTCAAGAGAGACTAAGAAACTCAAGACCTAGGTTGTGGGTCCCATGGAGATGTTTCATCTACCCACAGAACTCCTTTAGAGTAAGGAACCTTCTGTCCCAGGGGGATACGAGAGATGCGTCTCCTTTGGGGTGTCCTCAAACAGCGATTCTCCGACCTGAGGGGGCGAAGGCCAGCTCCACTCTGGAGTCACCCTGGGGGGCCACCACATCCAATTGATCACCTTGGACCATATGAGCTAGCAAGACAACCAGCAAGGGACAGTTTTGAGCCAGACACTGAATGGTCACAGGGCACAGGGTGGAGAAAACTCTTGGGAGAGATGGAAAACCTGGTCATTTAGCAGCCTTTCAGCCACTTTCCATAGAACTTGTGATGAGATGAGATACATCAGCCACATTTCACCAAAGAGACAGGAATCTCGCTCAGAGAGGCCACTCACAGGGCAAGCTAGTGGGGCTCAGCCTCGGCCAAGACTAAAGAAATGGGGTTTTCATTCCTTTGTGGGCTGTGTACACAGGTGGGGATCTGGAAGGAACAGCGCAGAGGCCAGTGTTTCACCTAGAGATGGGATGGTGGGGCAGGCTTCACTTTTCTCAAGTATTTCAATTTCTGTTCTAACAATCAGTACATTTCAAGATGAAGAAAGTTGCCTTCACTACAAGCAGGACAGCAGACATGCACCTTCTGTGACCACATCATATCCTGCAGGGGACCTGGTGATGTGGGGTGTGGGCATGTATGTGCCCCCAGAAGCCGTACTCACTGGCATGGGCCTCCTTGGATTCTGACTCTGACAAAACTATAAAAACACCCTGGGAACATCAGACAAATGTGTATGCGGACTGAATGAGGTCCACGTGATCGGTGATGTGAAGGAGTTACTGTTAATACTGAAGTATTCTCAAGTAAACTCAGGTCACCCCTGGGTGCTGTGCCCATGGCAGTGAGTCACATGCATCTCTCTCCTTGTGTCTGTGTTTGAAATTTCTATGATAATGTAAATTAAGATCTTGAACCAACACTTACAAATCAAAGGGAATGAATGGATTTTAGGGCCAAGCAAACCTGGCTTTAAGTCCTACCTACCTGTGTGGCTATGGTTTGACACCGCCCCCCCCCCAAGAATTTTTTCTTGCTACAGAATGCCGGGCTTTCCTGGCTCTGACATATCAGAGTTTTGTGAACCTGAGAACAGGATGGCTTTGCCAAAGGCCTGGCAAACTGGGAGGGTGCTTCGATTAGGCTGTTGGGCTCTTCCCCACCTCACTCCCAAGTGACTGACAGTGTGTTACTGTTTCAGGACTTTGCGACACACAACACGGCCATGGATTTCACCTTGGAGGATTGGGAGCAGCTGGGACTGGACCGGGGGGACCTGTTCTGGGACACGGCACTGGACAACTATCAGAACCTCTTCCTGCTGAGTGAGTGTCACCCTGACTCAGGCCCAGGTACTGTACTTCTTGGGGATCACAGGTACTCTGTCAACCAAAAGATGAAATCTCCACTCCGAATCATCACTGCCCAGGCCTGTGTCTCTTAGCTGGTCGTCTCTGCCCTCCAGGAGACGTTAGCAGCATCTACAGACATTTAAGGTGGTTGTGCTGGGGATGGGGATGCTACTAGCATCTCATGGGTGGAGCCAGGGAGGTTGCCACACTTCACACAGCCAGCACCCAGCAATGGGGTGATCCATCCCCAAGTGTTCAGTAGTGCTGAGGCCAAGAGACCCTGGTCTGAACTGCAATCCCATTACACACACACACACACACACACACACACACACACACACACACACCATCAAAGGGCTGATCAGACTCAGACTCTTAGATACCTGTAAAGAGAAATGATGGGAATAAATAGAGATGGAGACAGTATTCAAGGTACAAGGGGACCGGGAGGAGCCTGCCTCTAGTTGACAGCAATTTCCGCACTTTGACCCACTTTTATTAGCAAGCAGGTGCTGGGGTAAGGGCAGTTTACATGGAACAGCAAGGTCAGTAAACGCGTAGCTAATTAATGGGGAACAGGTCCATACCCAGATGCCTGCATTCTTTGTATTGCCTTCAGCAGATGTCATCTTGCGGTAAGATCACTGTGAGTTTTCTTTGCACAGCCAGGAAGCCTGTGGTTTTCCATTAACTTCTCTTTCCCAAAGGAAGTTACACTGGCCTTGGACCCCGTAGGACCCAAGTTACACAACCTGGTCCCCAATTCTTTCATAGCTCCATCGTGTTCCGACCATTTAACTTCATCATTGGAGCGAGAGCTTCCTGTCTTCTTGTGAGTGGGGTCTTGTGACCTGGTTTATTCACTGCTTTGTGCCCGGTGCCTTCTGCACAGCTTCAACAAATGGTTCCTACGGGAATAAACGGTGCAGTGGCAGGCGCTGCTCCGTCACAGACCGCCCCACAAGGAGATTAGATTGTCTCTTTCGAATCATTCTGAAAGTGAGGTTCAAAGAGAGGAAGTTACTTTCCCGAGTTTGGCGGTCCCCACAGCTTGCCTAGGTGCGGTGCTTCACTGGAAGCATTTCTGAGACATGGCCTTTGGCGCTTGTGGCTGTGAACTGCTACAGTGAAAACACACAGAGCAGTCACTGCAGGGAGAGGGTGCAGGTGAACTTCAGGGAGGCCGGATCCAAACTTCCAGGATCCTCTCCAGAGTTACATGGGATTTGCTTAATTTCCCCCGAGGTGTGACTGTCCATACGAGAGCTCTCGAGAGCCTCCGGGACCAGGGGTTTATTGGAGGCCAGTCGTGTGGCCTGCTCTGTCTCACCAGCATTCCCCATTACTCTCGTAGAGTGAGCAGCGGCCCCAGCCCCTCAGCTTCCCATCCCCATCACTCACTTGTCCATTCCCATCTCCTACAGTTTTTTCTTTTCTAAGACATAGAAGAGTACTGTATTCCAACAGATGAAAAGACCAAAACGCGCCCTACTGTGGTATCTCGTATTTGATGGACTTTTGTCACATTGCAGCAGTTTTTCGCCGACATGCCTCCAGATGGTAGCAGCTTGGGGGGTGCTACAGCAGTGCCTTTTAGTAAGAGATCCATTGACCTGACTCTCCTGGACATACTTGTGTCTATACACAAGCGGTGTGTTAGTTTCCTACTGTTACTGTTACACATGCTGCAAACACAATGGCTTAACCCCTGTTTATCATGTCACAGTTCTGCAGAAGTTTGAAATGGGTAACTAACTGGGTAAGAGCGAAGTTGTCAGCATTTAGGCTGTGTTCCTCCTAGGAGCCCAAGGGGGAGACTCTTGCCCTGCCCTCTTCCTGCCCCTAGAGGCCGTCTGTGTTGCTCAAGACACAGCCTCTTCATTTTCCAACAAACTGGCTCTTTCTCCACTGTGCCGTGTATATCCCAGATGACGGCTTTCTGCCCCCTTCCTCAGGAGGTCGGTGGAGGGCAAGGCTCAGGTCCACTTGTGCTCTGGGAGCCTGCCGTCTTCCTTCGTAGGACCTGGCCCACAGAGGCCTCGGCTGTGTGGTCCATGATGAAGGGGTGAATCATGAGTGCCTGAGTATGTGGCAAGCTGCTTGTCCCCAAGAGCTGCCACAGGTTCTTTGTGACCCCAGTCCCAGCTGTCACGGCTCTCACCACCGAGACGGCGACTGACTAGGTCCCTCTTTTCCACCACTGGGCACCCTAAGTCCCAGAGGTGTCCTGGCAGGTGACCCCAGCGTTGCTTAGTGTAGCATCTGACCCATAAGGGCTGCGTGCAGGGAAAGCATCTGGATGACCTTCCCCATCATGGCTAATGATGATGCCATTCTCTCTCTACAGACCCCCCGAGACCTAGCCCAACATCCCATCCTGATGGTGAGGAAGAGTTGGAGGCCCTGATGAGAGGAAGCCTAGAAGCAGTGGGTCCTGGTGAGTGGAAGAAAGGGGCCTTTGGTGTATCCTCTACCCTTAGGACCTCTGCCTGAGGTCATGGCCGACTGAGTGTGTGTGCCTGATGTCTCATGTTTGGCCTCTGTTCTTCATTCTGCCACCCACTGGCTCCCATCCCTTTGTTCTGGGAAATGGAGATTTGACTAGATCCCAGTCCTCCTGGGCCTTCAGTATTGGCTGTCCCAGTGCCACTCCCACCCCCATTCTTCCCTTCCAGACTTACGAAGGGGAGGCCTTCCGCTCCCTGAGTCACTGTCCACCTCTGCCTGTGCCCTCTTTTACCTCCTTTCATATAGCTTGTCCTTACTTCCTGGGCCTGGGCACGGCAGATGCCCAGCTCTGGGAGTGACTCTCACCAGGCTGAATGCTGCCAACAGTATCTACTCTGCTGTCTCTCAGGCCAGACATCTGGGTCATCAGCTAGATGGTAGCCGTTCCTGCAGTATTAACCCCGGTTGCATTGTCACCAGGGGAAGAAAACAGAGGCAGATGTGTTGCCTAGGTGTGGGACACTCCTCTGTCATCATCAGTTTAGTGTTCTGAAGAGGAGAGGGTGTTGTACCAGAGACCACACCCACGTAGTCATCCTGCAGCCCTGCTCTTGCTCAGTACCTGAGCTCAGAAATGGGAGCCCTCTGCAGCCTTTTGCTCAGCGTTAGTGTTTCACAAGGGGAGCAGGCCCACACGCATGCTCCCTCAACCTCTGATCCTGATTTCTGTGTCTGGTTATTTCCAAGCATAGGCAGCCATGCTTTTACTATCAACCAAATCACATACACACACACACACACACACACACACGATGCCTCTCCGATAACGTATATATATAAAATCTCCTCTAGTATTGGCTGTCATGTTTTGTTGTCATCATTTACTCCCTGCTGCAATAGCATGCTTCTCTGGGGGGGTAGACCCTAGCTGATGCATCCTTATATCCATTTCCCATATCATGCCAGTTTGTGAGCGGGGTCTGCTGATGTGCTCTGTGTAGGGAGAACATCAGGAGCCAAGACCAGCAGCAGATGTGATAATGCAGGGCAAGTGGGGTGGTTTGGAAGGCTTTGATTTGCAAGTTTCACTTCCAGGCTAAGGCACTGAGCAGTCTCTGACATGCTCGGTGGATAGGCAGCCCAGAAACTGCAGAAGGAGCTAGGTGGTGGCACAAACCTGTAATCCCAGCACTCTGGAAGGCTGAGACAGGGAGATCACAAGTCTGAGCCAGTCTGCACAACAAAGTACCTTAGGGCTGGGATTGTAGCTCACTGGGAAGACCCTGAGTGGAATCCCTAGTACTGGGGGTAGGGGAGAGGACATGGACTCGGAGGCAGGTGATGCTGGTGCAAGAGGAAAGCGTGGGGAAGGGGAGATGAGAGGTATGGCGGGGAGTGGCCAGTGCAACTCATGTATGGTGAAGGAGTCCAGAGAATATACAACTTGTAGTTAGGAGGGTGAGTCAGATAGAGCAGATCTTGCTTTATTGATTACTTCGCTGTGGAAAAGGAGCTCACCAGCTGCTTAGGAAATGCTTGGTACTAACTGTAGTTCAGGGAACACTCGGTAAAACATTCACACCCTGCACAGCTTCTTTGCTACATCCTGATCTCCTACCTCACTAGCAGGCAAGTAGGTGTGAGGGTTATGGCCGAGGTTCTCCCTCTGTTGAATCCCTGCAGTTTCTCTGCTCCCCTCCCCCCACCCTCTCTCCATTAAGTTTATTGGTACATTCAAAGCAAACAATATAGTTACATTTATCATTGGGATCTTGTACCTTTACATGGTATGGCTTATTTCTTGTTTTTTCCCCATACCCTTGCCCTCCTGTCACCCCCTTCACCCTCTGTTACCCTCTTAACCCTTGTGAGAATGAGCTCTCCTCTGATGTCAGTTCCAGATGGGACACCGTTTGGGACTCCTTTTTCATCCCCTTGGCAGACAGGCAGACTCAAGACAGTCATTCCTGCCTTCTGTGTCTGTTCTCAGCCTACAACTCTCATCTCTCTAGGGAACAAGGGACATTTATACTCGCTTTTCTTTCAGACATGCCTGAGACCAAGAACGCCCCTCTGAAGCAGAATTTCTTGGAAGAGGGACTCTCCCAGGGGATTATGGAGGTGTTTTGCAAGGATGACCCTTGGAACTCCAGGCTTGAAGTCTGTGTAGATGAGAGCTGGTTAGGTAGTTTGCAGGAAGATCCAGAGAGTCTTCTAAAGTCTGTCATTGTCAACAATAAGGAAAGTACCACGGAATCCAGCAGTCACGAATTGGAGAGTGGTCTGAGTCCTTTCCTCCTTTCCACAGGAGAAGACTCTGTGATGCCTGTTACTGAAAAGAGCCTCGCATCAGCTGAGTCAAAGGAATATAGGTGCGCCTTTGCCTGCAACGCAGAGCAGAGGCAGCAGGATGCTGTCCAGGGAGAGGAGAAGCCATACAGATGCAGTGAGTGTGAAGACAGCTTCAGCCAAGGTAACCACCTTATCCAGCACTGGATCCCCCACGTGAGGGAAGAGCCATCGGCACATGAAGAGGACCAGGGAGAATTCTGTCTGACTTCTTACTTGGTCATGCATCCTGTGACCCACACAGGCCACATATGTAAGGAATGTGGGAAAACTTTCAGTCAGAATATTCACCTCCAGCAGCATCAAAAAATTCACACTAGAGAAATACCGTGTAAGAGTCAAGGTGGCAGCTGTACATCTAGTCATCGTGGAGAGCCTGTGAAGTGTCAGAAAACCACCGGAAGTGCTAAGTCCTTCAAATGTAACAAATGTGACATGACTTTCACCCAGGCCCTTCATCTTATTGGGCACCGGAAAACGCACACTCAGAAGCACTATGAGTGTGCCACGTGCCAGGCAGTCTTCACCTTGAGGAAACATTTCATGCAACATCAGAAAACTCATGCTGCAAAAACTACCTCTCAGTGTCCGGAGTGCGGAAAGACCTTCCGGCAGAGATTGTCACTCATCAAACACCAGGCTATTCATACCGGGGAGAAGCCTTACAAGTGTGATGAATGTGGGAAAACCTTCAGCCACACTTCCACCCTGAAGATTCACCAGAAGGTTCACAGCAGAGAGAGACCTTACAAATGCAGTGAGTGCGGGAAAGCCTTCTCCCGGAAAACTCACCTTCACGAACACCAGCAGATTCACACAGGCAGCAAACCCCACAAGTGTCTGGAGTGTGTCCGGAGTTTCAGCCGACCTTCACACCTGATCCGACACCAGGCCACTCATGCCACAGAGAGGCTCTTTGGATGTGCTGAATGCAAGCAGACCTTCGGTAATAAAGAGAACCTAGTGCAACACCAGAAAATCCACACCATCGAAGCCCCCTATGTGTGTCTAGAGTGTGGAGAACGCTTTGTTTCCAACTCAACCCTGAACTGCCACTTAAGTGTCCATGCCAAGGAAAAGCAAAGATTCAATGGGAGCAGGAAAGTTTTGGATCAGAGCCCAGGACAGACAGAGGACCCAAGGCGTGATGAGAAATACTTTAAGTGTAACAAATGTGGAAAAGCTTTTAACCACAACAGATACCTCACTCAGCACAAGAAGATTCACACCAGGGAACAGGTCTTTGAGTGCAACCAGTGTGAAGAAGCCTTCAGCCAGAGGACACAGCTCCTCTGCCATCAGAGAATGCACTCTGGGAAGAGGCCTCATGAATGTGGTGAGGATGGGGAAGTTGTCCCCAGCGCCTCCCTCACCGGACATCAGCCTTCCCAAAGTGAACACCCCTTTAAATGTAACGAATGTGGCAACACCTTCAGCCAAAACACTCACCTCTCGGAACATCAGTTAATTCACACTGCAAAGAAGCTCTTCAAATGTAATGAGTGTGACCGGGTCTTCACACAGAGTAACTACCTTGTTCAGCACCAGAAAGCTCATGTCACAAAAAAGCACTTTTTGTGTAGCGAATGTGGGAAAATGTTTCATCAGAGCTCATGCTTTTCTAAGCACCTGAGAACTCACTCGGGAGAGAGGCCCTTTGAATGTGGCGACTGCGGGAAAGCCTTTGGCATGAATGCTGAACTCATCCGACACCGGAGAGTTCACACTGGAGAGAAGCCTTACCTTTGTCAGGATTGTGGGAAAGCCTTCAGCCAGAGCTCGTGCCTTTCTATTCACCGGAGAGTTCACACTGGGGAGAAGCCCTATGTGTGTAGCAAATGTGGGAAAGCCTTCACCCAGAGAGCTAATCTAACTCAACATGAGAGGATTCACACTGGGGAGAAGCCTTACTCCTGCGGTGTGTGTGGCAAAACCTTTGGCTTCAGTGCCCATCTTACTCAGCACCAGAGAAGTCACACCCAGGAGAAACCTTACCAGTGTCAACATTGTCAGAAAGTCTTCAAGTGCTTTTTCACTCTCGTCAGACACCAACGACTTCATGCTCGAAAATAATAGCAGCAATCGTTTCTGTAGCCCTTAGGTAGCAACAGAGTCCCAGGCATCCAAACATTCCTCTGAGGTCGTATTTGAAGCCAGCACATTGCAAGCTTCCTTCTCCAGCTTAAGTCTATCAAGGAAGATCGATTAGAAAGCTTGCACATGAGTTTTATTAAAACAAAAGCAGAGAAGCTGTGTAACATTGAGATTCAGAGGTAGACTGGATCCAGCCCACCTAAGTTGTATGCCACCTGTCATCTGCCATCTTAAGTGGCCTTGGGGAAGTCCTAAAAGATCTTTGGGCCTCAGTGTCCTAAAATCTGTAAAATGAGTATATTAGTCACCTACCTCAGTTCAGCACTTGTGAGCATTGAATAGATACCAAGCACTTAGAACCAACGCCTAACACATAGTAAGTACTCACCTAGTGTGAGCTATGAACATGTTAGATATACTTTTTATATTAAAAGAGAGCTAGTGATCTATTTACCTCATTTGATGTTCTCCAGATTATGCACAGCTTTTAAGTCTTTTTTCAAGGTTTGCTTTTTGGTACTGGGGATTAAACTCAGGTTCTTGCGCTTGTGAAGCAGGCAGCTGAACCACTGAGCTAAATCCCCGGCCCAATTTTTGTGTTTTTGTTTGTTCTGTTTTGTTTTTTGGTACTGGGATCCAACTTGGGTCCTTACACTTGCAAGGCAAGTAGCAGAACCACTGAGCTAAATCCCAGTGCATTGGTCTTTCAGTTTTGTTTGGTTTTTTTGGTGCTGGGACTCAAACTTGGGACCTTGCACTTGAGAGGCAGGTGGCAGAACAAAAACAGGTTTTTTTTGTGTTGTTTTTGTTTTTGGTACCAGGGATCGAACTCAGGACTTTGTGCTTGCAAGGCCGGCAACAGAACCACTCAGCTGAATCTGTGTCCCCAAGTTTTTATTTAGTACCTTATTCTTTTCCTGTGTGTGTGTGTATCGTACTGGGGAATGCACACACCGCCCTTTTAACTGTTTTGAGACAGGGCCTTAGTAAAACTCTTAATTTGCCCAGGCTGGGCTTGAATTTGTAATCGTGCCTCAGCCTCCCAGAGTGCGGGGACTGTGGGCACGCATCACCTTACTCTGTCTACATGTTCAGCCTTTCCCTTTCCTTCATCTCTGCTCTATTCTTAACAGTTGAACAGAAAGCCAAGCGGAGCATGGGAACGCCTCATCTCGGAAGGCTGAAACTTTGAGCCGACCTCGCGGACCGCTCACAGGACCCCCGCGCTTGTTCACACGCCTCCTTTCATGCTCCTCCAGGTCGGCAATTGCTTATGCAGCAGGGGACCAAATGTGTCCGGGGGAGTTAATGGTACTGCAAGTGGGATTCATGAGTGGGTTCTGCTAACGGGGCCGTTAGGAAAGCTGTGTTGGATATTGCTACGTGAAACAGGACGCTGAAGACATGGCTGGTGGTGAGAATTGGTGCCTGAAGGTGATGACAGAGCTGTTCGCCCTTTATCCAGTGTAAATGCTCTGTGAGGCTCCAGGAGAAGGGATACTGATAGGGTAACCCTGGCTCTGAAAGCTGGCCTCGGGAAGGGAAGTGACTCATTTCCTAGAGGAGCTGTCCGTTGGCAGTGAACACCTTTACAGTGCCGCTTCCCTCACATCCAGGAAGTGTGGAGTTACTGAGGATTGTTGGCAAGGAGCCATGAGGAGATAACCCTTCCCATTGTGGCCCTGGGTTCACCTTGGTCGCGCCTGACCCAGCCATGTGACCAACTCCTCGAGTTCCTTGTCAGCTGTGGCTTTTTGTGCCCTACGCACTGAAGTGGCCCGGTCACATTGACTGAAGCAACAGAATCTCACAAAAATGTTGGATTCAGACCCAGTATGTTCCGTATTTGGGATGCTCTACATTCTTGGGCTTTTGAGTTCTGGTTTCTGTAGTTGAAGGGGGAACCTGTTAAGTACCCGGTGAGTCCACGTGACAGTGCTGAGCGTGTTGGTTCTCAGGTGCCTGGTTGTATCTACACTGGGAGGTGGGCGTGTTTTATCTGAAAGGGGTCTACCGAGTGTGGGCAGGGCAGAAACACGTTGATGAGAAGTGTATTCAACGGTTTTGACGCCACTGATAGGGATCAGAAACCTTAGGCAGCGAGGGATGTAGCTTAGTGGCGCTGCACCTGCCCGGCAAGCACAAAGTCCCGTGTGTGATCCTTGTTGGAAGTTGGTCTCTGTTACCTGTGTCGTGGTCTGCAGTGTGACGCCTGCCTTGTGTGTATATCAGCTGGCTCTCGGATTAAAGTTTTGAGTCTTAAAATAGTGATGCCTCCTCTCATTCTGGTGCCACATACTCGGCCACGGCGGGGCACGCATAGTCCCTGGCTGCCAGGCATTCACACGCCAGTGGGGAAGACAGAATAGGCTGTGGAGCGTGAGGGTGCCCTACATCAAACTGCTGAAGCAAGTGACTAGACGTGGTAGCATATACACAAGTTTCACCGTTCCGGTGGCTGAAGTCCGGCCTCGAGGTCTGTCAGATCCATTGTCTGGCACGGCCGACTCTGGGCTCATAGACGGCACCTTCCTGCTGTGCTGTCACGTGGTGGAATGACCAAGGGGGCTCTGAGTTCTCTCATTGGTGTACTCATTCCGTTCACCAGGGCGCTCACATCAATCCCCACCGCGGCTTAGGTTTCAGAATACATTGGAAGCGAAGGCGCTCGAACCACAGCAAAGCGAGTGATGACGTGAAGTAAGTGCTAAGGAAAACCCTGAGGAGGTCACTTCGCCAGAGATGCAGAAGTGACTAGCAGGGTAGATGGCTGCAACCAGATGCAAGCCGGGGGGACAGCCCAGGCGAAGGGACGGGGTGGGGGGCTGGTGCATTTGGAAAAGAGCGAGGAGGCCCAGTCTGGTTGGGGCAGAGTGGGCAATAGTGAGACCCTGTCAGGGGCCTGGGGTGAGGCCTTGCAAGGCCCAAACAGCGCTTGAAAGGTGCTGAGAGCACTGCGCTGTAGGTCCCTACAGCTGGGCCCGAGGGCCTCTGGCAGATGAGGCAGGGCTGCAAGTGAACAGGCACCTTGTTGCTCCCTCCCATGGGTGCCGCCGGGCCCCATGGGAAGAGAACAAGCAGCAAGCTGCCGTGGTGGAGCAAGGTGTGGCCAAGAAGAGGACGCGCCTCCCTCCCCCTGCATTGGCCATAAAACCATCAAGCGTGATGTTCTGCAGACCTTAGTCTCTCTCCCTGTTCCTTTCGGGAACTCGCCTCACCTCCCCTACCCTTCCCTTACCACTAGTACTGTAAATAAACAGCTACCAGGCAGTCCTTTTCTCCCATCAGGAGGAGGGCTCCACCTGGCCTCAGCTTTTTGTGATCTGTCTTTCCTTCATCCCCCACCGTTCTCCCTCTGAGGGACTTCAGGCTGTGCCGGCCGCGTGGCAGAAGGGTTTTGGCATTTCCTGGGGGTGCTGCTGAACAGCTCTGGGTGGGTGCAAAGGTGATGTGATGAGCCGTACTTTCTAGGACTCCTCTGCTGTGTTGAGAGGACTGTAGGGGGAGTGGAGACAGAAGTGGGCAGAGGAGGGTCGGGCATAGTGGCGCACGCCTATAATCCCAGCATTCAGGAGGCTGAGGCAGGAGGATCACCCTGAGTTCAAGGCCAGCCTGAACTACAGAGTGAGACCCTGTCTCAAACAGGGCAGAGGAGTGTGACCGAAGCATCGTTGGGGTGAGGAGTGGTGTGAGTCTATGTGAGGGAATGTGTGGTGGGATAGGGGGTGAAGTGTTGTCTTTCAGGAAGGAGCCAGTGGGCACCTTGTCACCTTGAAGGGAGACCCTGCCAGAAAACCAGTGTGCAACAAGGACACAGAGCTTGGAGAAAGGGGGGACACTGCTGAGAGGTCATTGGAGCACCTGGACCCACACGTTCTGGAGGTTAAATTTCTAAATTATATTGGATAATAAATTCCCTTTCCGGTGCCCCACCTGCCCAGCAAGCCCAAGGTCCTGAGTTCAATTCCGGGTACTGGAAAAAAAAAATCACTTTCTCCCATAAGCAAGCATGATGTTCTTGACTGACAGTAAATTATATCCTAACTGGGTGTAGTGGCACACGTCTTAGTCCCACCACTTGGGAGGCTGAGGCAGGAGGATTGCAAGTTCAAACCCAGCCTGAGCACCTCAACCGCTTAGTGAGAACTTGTCCCAAAAACACAAAGCAAAAGAGGCTGAAATGTAGTTCCAGTCCTGAATTCAGTCCCTAATACTTAAAAAAAAAAAAAGTTGTTTTTTTTTAAAATCTCATCAGTGTACTTGAAATTCACTTTATAGACATTTTTACATGTGTGTCAAATGTCTACCGATGCAAAAGAAAATAGAGACAACCTAAATGTCCATTAATGGGCATCTGTTAAATAAACCCTAGTTATGCAGCTGTATAAAATGTCTTGCATGACAGGTACAACACCTGTGTATTTTGTACTGTCATGGGAAATGCCCACCTTATGGCAGATACAGTAACTGCTAAAGGCATGTGCGTGTGTTTATGCCATATGTAAGTATACATATTGCATATGTGTATAATTCATAGAAACAAAAGACTCCTATTGATGGAAAAAGCTAAGATTTTTGGGATGCAGATGCACAGGGTGTCATAGCTTTCTTCACTTTTACATTGTCATTTTGCTCCACCATGAAAGAAATCCCAGGAGGTCAGAAAGAAAAACTGGGCAAAGGCTTTAAACCCTGGTAACATGAGCGAGGGCTGGTGAGACGGCCTGGACAGGGTGTCACCTGACACAACTGTGGACACAGCCACTGGCAAGGAGCACAGGGTCGTAGACACGCTGTCCCACTGACCCAGAACCTCACTGCCGGGAGTTTTGCCTGGCACATGATCGGGTGCTCATCCTTGCTGTGCCATGTGCCACATTATAAGTCAGTAATTTTGCCGGGTTCAATCCCCAGCACCACAAATGGGTAAAAGAAGAGCTGGCGACATAGTTTTTGTTTTTGTTTTGGGGGTACCGGCGATTGAACTTGGGTCCTTGCGCTTGCAAGCCAGGCCTCCGAACCACTGAGCTAAATCCCCAGCCCCTTGGTGACATAGTTAATGTAAAGGTCCTGCCTCGATCCCCAGGACTGCAAACATAAAAAAATGAAAAATTAGAACTAGAATGTCCAAGAAGGAGCTTAATAGGCTAGCTGAAAACATATCAACGACGTGAAACTGAAAAAGTCAGGTTATTGAAGACTACTTAATGACACGTTTGATGATTGACATTGGTGAGTGTAAAAATGAGTGCATCGGTGGCCCTCAGTCTCACCCTGTGACAGGTAGAGGATGTTCTGCTCCTTTGGAAAGAAATTGGCAAAATGTTTGAGGTCTTTTATGGATTTTATATTTTTCATTCAAAAATTGTGACAATTAAACATACGGATACAGGCTAAAAACAACTGGAAATAAAAACACCCCAAAATGATTACTAAGTCTCTGAGCTGAGGGAATATAGGGAATTGGTTTTTTACTTCGATCTTCTCTGCACTTTCGAATTATTATTTTACCAAAAATTGTTATTATTAAAAGTACACATAAAATGTAATATGTTATAAAGATAGGATAAAAATGTCATTTGGGGCATGAATAAATACAGTGTTTATGAGCAGGACACTCAGTGGGGATAATAGCTTTGTAAACCATAAATCCTGGAAATATAAGCAGAATTAAGAGGCCATAGGGCTAGGGATTCAGCTCAGTGGTGCTGCTGCCTGTCTCTGAAGTGCGAGGTCCCAAGTTTGATCCCCAGTACCAAAAATAAAACAACAAAAAAAAAGCCGTAAAAATGTAAGCTTTGGGCTAGGGATTTGGCTCAGTGGTTTTGCTGCCTGCCTTGTAAGCACAAGGGTCTTGAGTTCAATCCCCGGTACCACCACAAAAAAAAAAAAAAGCAAGCTTTGTAGCTTTTGTACATAAGGAGGGGAAGGGACTTGATGGAAGGAATGGGATAAAATAGAATAATATTTAAGATTTATTAATAATAAATGTAAGGGGCCGGGGACTTAGCTCAGTGGTTCGATGGCCTGCCTTGCAAGCGCAAGGACCCGAGTTCAATCCCCGGTACCAAAAAATAATAATAATAATAAATGTAAGCTGGGCTGGGGATTAAGCTCAGTGGCACCATACCTGCCTCACAAGTGCAAGGTCCTAAGTTTGATCCCTGGTACAAAACAAAATAAAACATTTTTTTTAGCTTTGAAACCTGTTTAAAACAATTTCAAACTTTTAAATATGTAGCTTATTTATGGAAACTAAAATGGTCTAGCATTTGTTTAGTGGCTCATATTTGAGATTTTAACGGGTTAATCTTTACAGTTGTGGGGTTTTTTCTTGCACATCCAGGGTCCAATGTAAGGATCAATCAGTTTAAAAATCTCATACAGCTGTTCTTGTTAAAGACACCAGATGAGGAAGTATCCCCTTTAGATGACCCCGTATGCACACCACCATCTGGGAGTACTGTAGAGCTGGGGAAATACAGGAGGGAGGCCCCCAAAACAAGGAGACAGGGCCGGGGATTTGGCTCAGTGGTTCCACTGCCTGCCTCACAAGCACAAGGACCTGAGTTCGATCCCAGTACCAAAAAAAAAGAACCTGGTGATAAAATGTGCCCTCTTCCCTTCAGGAAGAAAAGACACGACCTCGCGCATGGTGCTAGTGTTCCTTTCTGGGTGTTACCTAGTCTTACAACAAATAGATTATTGAAAGGTCTTTTAAGCACCTGGATCCATCTGTTCTTGAAGGCAAAAGTTTTCCTAGGACTCTAGTGTTAATCAAGACTGGAATGAACCTGTTGACAAATGATGAGCAGAACATGGCGGTTTGTTACACAGTCAAGGTGTGCAGTCATCTTGAACTGACTGGTACGCCTGGTGCCCAGCGCAAAGACTCTGAACGTCATTGCAGACAGACATTTCCCCTCTTGTGAGGTCTCTGATGTTCAGTAAGGTTGGAACTCCAGCTGAAACCCTCTTCCCATTCTTTATGTACATAGTGTTTGCCACCAGTGTGAAGCTTCTGATACATTTGTAGGGCTTCTCTCCAGTGTGAATACTTTGGTGTTGAGTCAAGTGGATGCTGTGATTAAAGGACTTCTCACATTCCTTGAAGTCATAGGGTTTCTTTGGTGGGTGGGTGTTTTGTTTTGTTTTTTTGGCACCAGGGATCAAACTCGGGTCCTTGCACTTTCAAGGCAGGCAGTGGAACCACTGAGCTAAATCCCCAGCCCCATAGGGTTTCTTACCAGTATGAACTATCTGATGTTGAGTAAGGGAAGAATTGTGGCTGAAGGTTTTCCCACACTGCTTACATTTAAAAGGTTTCCCACCAGCGTGAATCTTCTGGTGCTCAACGAGGTGGGTGCTCAGGCTGAAGGCTTTCCCACACTCATGGCACTCACAGGGCTTCTTATGAGTGTGACTCCTCTGGTGTTGAATGAGGTGGGAAATCGGTATGGGCCTTCCCACAAACTTGACGCTCATAGGGCTTTGCTCCAGTGTAAGTCCTCTGCTGGCATGTGCGGGAAGAATTCTGGCTGAAGGTCTTCCCACACTTCATACATTTGTAGGGCTTCTCAC